TACTAAACACTGAAGCCCCCTTTCTTTACTCTTCGATGGTTTTAGCTGCCACTCGGAGCCGCTCTTCCTTCTCTGCCAAGCTACCCTTGGTTGTTAGTATAGTGATGTCATCCGCATAGAAGGAGTGTCGAATTACGGAAATATCTTCGAGTTTTTTGGCTTGACCAATAACTGCTGTGTTGAAAAGCGTAGGCGAGATCACAGCGCCTTGTGGTGTGCCTTTGCTTGGTGGGTGGAAAGTTTGCATTCGTCTTCTCCTAATTTGATGACAGCAGTTCTTTTAGTAAGGAAGTTTTGTACATACTGGTACGTCCTTCGACCGCAGTTTGTCACTGCTAGCTCAACTAGTATGAACGTATGGCTTACGTTGTCGAAAGCACCTTTTATGACGATGACCATGACAAGTTCGCTCCTTCTTTTGGAACATTTGTTATTACTTCCTCCTTTAAAAGCAGAAGGATGTCCTGTAACAAGAGGTTTGAGCGGAAACCAAAGAATGATGTTTGGCAACAAGTTATTTTGTTCAAGATGCCGTTGAAGTCTGATATTCATTATTTTCTCAAACACTTTGCCTAAGCATGAGGTAAGAGAGATTGGCCTGAGGTTTTGTATTGCCAATTACTTTCATGGTTTGGGTATCATAATTATTACAGCATGCTTTCATTGCTGAGGTATAGTGCAAATCACCTAGTGTTTGTTAATGAAGTTTAGAAGCGCTGTAGTGGCTTCGTCATTCATGTTGCTAATCATGGCCTTGGTGATTTGATTCGCCCCAGGCGCTGTGATGCGATTCATGCTGACAATTGCCGCTCTGACCTCGTCATGCGTGAAAGGTGCATTCAGGTCTGAGTTTGGGAGCCTGGAAAGGGGCTGTGATGGCTCGGGCGCCGAAACACTTGATATAGATGTCTTGAAGGAGGTCGTCTAGTGTGCCTGGATATGTGTGCAATAATCTTTCTAGAGATTTTTGTCCTTCGTGTTTAGTTTTTAGAGGGTCAATCATGGCTCTGAGGATATTCCATGTCTTTGCTGTTCCTAGGGTTCATTTATCGAATCGTGAAATTGTTCCCACTTGGCTGTCGCGAGTTGTTTAGCATACTGTTCGGCTTGCTGCGTTATTTCTTTAGTTATCGCTTTGAGTTTCTTATTTCGCTTTTGCCTTTTCCATCTTTTAGTGTGGTTTCATCTTGCTTCCCACAAGTGGAGAAGGTGAGCGTCTACTTCAGGGGTGTCGTCTGTTCTAGCGCCGGTTTATTGTGCATTTGCTTTTCATTTCGAATTACTTTGCACCGCTCGTCCAAGCCGTCTATGGCAGTCACGTGCACATTTAGTGATTTTCTAAGTGCATGCCAGTTGTTATTTTAGCTGTGCCGATCTATTTGCAGGTTCGGCCTGCGTGGATTGTGGTGCTTAGTATGTAATGACCACTGCCCAGGTTTTCAAGGGTGTTCTACCAGTCTACACTGTGGCAGTTTTGTACTGTCTTCAAGTCCGCACCTGTGTCGATGGATACGCTGTTGCCTGTTCTCGTTGGGATTGCAGGGTCAGTTTACAGCGTCGTTCCCAGTTTCACTATTTGTCTTGCGATTTTCTCGCCTTTGGTGTCTTGCATTTTACATCCCCAGCGTGCATGCCGGGCAATGATGTCCCCAAATAGAAATAGTGAATTCCCTTTAGCCAGTTTTGCTGTCTTTTGAAAAAGCTTGTCAAACGTTGCTCTCTTTTGTCTCAGAGAACTATAGATATTAAGTACTAAGGTGCTCTTTCCATGGCTTCCTTTGTAGGTGATTTCTGTTATGAGATGCGGGATATCCGCCTCTTCTATGGGCTGATGACATATTGCAGTAATTGAGTAATCGACTAATGTAGCAATTTTCCATTCTGCCTTCTCGGTACTATAAGTCTCGTAGCCCCATAATTTTGGTTGTGTTCCGGCTTCCTGGACTGCTATGACAGCAGGTGGCTTTTGTTGCGACGCCCCCCACTTCAACAGTTGCCCTCTTTTCCGTCGGAAACCTCGGCATTTCCACTTGCCATATTTCACATTTCCTGACCACTGCGTTTGATATTTAACCATTGTGTGTCTCTTGGTTCATAGCAGACAATCCGGGACCTGTTGTAAATTTTCTCAGCTTTTTCTCTGATGTTAGCGACTGAGACATGCTTTCGCAAGGCTTTTGTTTTTTATGTGTTCTGCCTGGGTTTTCTTGTCTAGAATCTCGAGCTTTCTATTTACCTTTATCATTACTTGCTCTATAACTGTCGGTATAACTTCTTTGAATATTTCTTTCAGCATCGACAACGTAAGTATTGAGTCGCCTCCTGCATTCGGATGTGTGTGCATTTTCTGGCCACTCGGGGCTGGTATAGAGTTTCGTTGCGCGTGCTGCGTTTGTTGCTTTTTTAGTTCCCTACTTTCACGTTCTAGGTCAGCTATTCTCACCCACATTTTTTCTAATTCGCATTCTGGTGTCACGTGATGTGAATGAATGAAGAAGGTAAACGACACGTTCAAACAAAGTAATCACGATATGTGTTTCATGTGAAGCACGGCTACACGCTACACTAATGGCGTGCTCGCGGCCTTTCCACTAGTTCCACTTATATAAAATTTGGTATCAGGGGACTTGAGCAGACGACGAAGGTAAACAACACGTCCAAATATGACAATCATGACATGTACACGATGTACGACATAATTTACCTCCGCCTCGTAACCTCGTGCTGATTTTAAAGTGACATATCAACTTGATAAGACAGATGCTTGGGCTAGTTCATGATTGGGAATCAACATATTTGCATAGCGCCAGACTACGAGTAGTCACGACGTAACTACACAAGAAGAGACAAGGACAGAAAGAGTGCCGAGTTCAACTGAAATTTTATTAGCGAAAACGCTGAATGTATATACTCGGGATAGAACATCACCGCGCAATTGCGCAACCTATTGCATCACAGCAAGACAATCATCATCTCAATATATGGTTACAACGCCACAGCTCAGCACAAATTTACGATCCATTGTGTCAAAGCCAGAAACTTGATTTCTTTTTGGTCAGAGCAAGCGAAGGCATGCTGATACATCGATCACCCAGCATTTGCATTTCATTGGCCTCCATAATCTCTCGTGTTTGCTGGTGACGGTGTTTGGCTACAACAGTGCACTGTTCGAATTCCAGTCTGCAACCACGATCCCTACAATGGACGCCCAAATGACCTTGCACAGCTGAGTATACATTGTAACTGATGCTTCTTTAAACACTCATTCAAGCACCGGCCCATTTCCCCAACATATACCTTGCCACATGACAACGGTTGCAATTAAACCATGGTTATTCGCACGCAGTTCACTGGTGCTTCTCGTCCCTGTCGAATTGCGCTAAGCAACTCTTAAGCGTGGCTTGTAGCTCAAAGCGCGTGGCTGTGATTCCCTATCTACATAGGATTTCTCACAATTTGAAAAAGATAGGTGATAAGGTAGATGTGAACGTTGTTTTCTCTGCCCCAGAAAAGCTTTCAGCTCACTGCAAACGGGTGAATGCGCTGTCCATACCAAAGAGCTGCTGCACAATCAAACATAGAAGGCTGTTCGTAGCATGTTTGATAGCCGTGCTTTAGTTGCTCCCGTCGCCATGCGGCAAGGAAGGAAGGAATATAGAAGGAAAAGAACGGCAGGGAGGTTGGCTAGCCTATAGGCAGCCGATTTGCTACCCTACGCATGGCAGAGGGATGGGGGAGATAAAAAATAGAGAGGACAGATGGAAGAGAGATAAACACAGCACATTCACAGCACACGTGCGCATACTCAATCATAGTCCAGTCTTGTTTTTTGCGGTGTGTGACATTGCTGTTACAGCCGCTTGTTGAAGTCCGTGTCACGTAGGAGCTTGAACAGAGCTTTCGTCGCTTTCTGTTGCAATGTATTCTCTCGGGAACTTTACACAATAGTGTCCGCAGGCATTTGGCTGTTGTCAATGCGCGCAAGAACGGACGCCAGTGAGTGTCTCTGGATATCGTACAACGGACAGTCGCACAAGATGTGGTGTAGCGTCTCTTCGCAATGACAGGCATCGCAGAGAGCGTTATCGGTCATTCCTTTGACAAAGGAATAAGATTTTGTAAATGCCACTACCAGCCATAAGCGATGAAGAAAGGTGGCTTCACTTCGGTCGAGCTCAGTGGGCATGCGGAGAGCCATCAAAGAGAACAAGTGGTGTTTATGATTCGTCTCGTTGCTTGGTGGGCACCATAGTGAAAACGTGATTTCAGGCGCAAGTCGTCGAAGATTACTGGCTGCATCGGTCCGCGAAAGTGGTATGGCTTCTTCTCGTGTTCCTTAAAGAGCTACCCGCGCGGCAGTATCGGCATGTTCGTTCCCTATGACGCCGCAGTGACTTGGCAGCCACTGAAACGTCACATGATGCCCTTTCTCGTGTGAAGCTTGGAGAAGGCATCGAATTTCGAAAACAAGCTGTTCGTACGATGCGGCAAGATATATGTTGGGCAAATGGGCCGGTGCCTGATTTAGCGCTCAAAGGAGCACCATTAAAATGTTTACTCAGGTGTGCAAGGTCATTTGGGCATCCATTGTAGGGATTGTGGTTGCAGACCGAAATTCGAAAAGTGCGCTGTTGTAGCCAAACACCGTCAGCAACTAACACGAGAGATTATGGAGGCCAATGAAATGCAAATGCTGGGTGATCGATGTATCAGCACGCCTTCTCTTGCTGTGACTAAAAAAGAAATTGAGTTTCTGGCTTTGACACAATAGATCGTGAATTTGTGCACAACCACGTTGTGTGCTAAACGCTTTCAGGTGAGATAAACACAATCTTCTGAGTACACAAAATATGGTTTTCGCCTTCTAGTAATGTTAGACGCAAATTTTTACGGGACTGTGTGAGGTTTTTGTTTTTGATGCACTTGGGAACACGTAGTTTATCATGTATACAAATGCGAGATTATTGAACTCTCATACACAACAATCAGGAGAGCATACGTTATTTATGAAAAATTGCTGTTTTATTTATTTGAGCTTTCCCTCGTTAAAATATTCCACGTCGTCTTTCTTGCACGCTTTCTGTGCTAGCAGTGACCACAGAAGACAAGTCCGGGCTTCACTACTTGGCCTTGCGGCTGGGGTAGGATCCATGGGTTTCCTTGATCAATGTGATTTCGTCCAAAAGCTGGAGTCCCTGGGGTGATGTGAAATATATATCAATTACGGTCCATCTGCACGTCGTAATTACGGCAGTATAACAAGAGAGTGTGGCTACAAAGTAACACTGCGTTGGCAGCAGCAGAAAAGCACGTTTAAAGGGCAACATCTTATGTTTCAGGACAGGACTAAGATCGGCGTTAAATAGCTTAACCAGCCACCGCTGCCTACAAGCAGCTTCAGACATCTAAAAAATGAAACACTGGATACGTAACGTAATATAGGAGTAACTTCAACAAGAAAAGGGTAACAAATTTAATACTACAAGGTGCACATTTTACGAAATGAAGTACGTTTTGATCAAGCACCACAAAATGAATGCAAAATTAGGCACGTAATAGGATGAGATAGAACTAAATTACATCCATGCAGCAGTAAGATGACATGAGGGCCTATACACGATATATAGATAACATACATCAGCCCTCAACTTTTAACCCTTTTCTAGTGAAGACGCGCTGGGCTGGTCCACCATAAAACAAGCATTTGGGAGGCAGTAGAACTTGATTCATTCTCGTGTTTTTTCTGTCGCTTCCAGGGATAGCACATAAAAATTTTAATATTGTTCTTGAAGCTTTAATTATGGTCGTAAAAAAATTCAATTCTTGCAAATAGAATAAGAAAACTGCGCTTTTTTGTGCGCTATTTGTTCGGGCCTAACGAAACATGTTCATTCTTTCAAAACTTGAATTCTCTTATGAAGTTTCATGAAATTGAGAATTTATATTGTCTTGTGTAAATAAAAAAAAACACACAGTGGGAAGAACCGGATTGGAGCTTAAGATAAGGAAATTCATGAAGGGGAGCTGTGTCCTTGCTCCGACCTATCAAAAAGTGTCGTTGTGTTCTTCAAGGCTATACTATTTTATGATCGCTAGTGCGTATACGTTTGTCCCCTTTTCTCTGCACCAAACACAGAGAGGAGATAAGGCAACTGTGCACGCAGGGAGTGCGGCTGGAGGAGATGTCACGATGACGAATCGTCTAAGTGAAAGGGAACAGGTCTTCGGCGAATAAAAGGAAAAGACGGAAGTAAGAGGAACTTAGACGTATCGTTAAGCCCACTGTTAACAAGGGTAGTTTAAAAACACGGCTAAGTCAGCAAGGGTACGTTAGAAATTCTTGGGAGGGCTCAACTCACACTGGTTTTTACTGTGTATGTACCATAACGAATGAATAGATGAGCATCTTTGTAAGCGTCCATACCTGCTGGCTGGCGCGCATTCAACTTGCGAATTATGTATTGCTCCATATTTTTTTAGGTATTGTCGACCGCAATTTTGACTGAAATCTATAAGTTAGAGATTATCGAAGTTGTCGCAAGCTACGTTAACATCTTCAGCTACTGCATTTGGTACTTCTTTTTTTGCCATGTCCACGCGATGCAGGATTGACAATTCATTGAGAGGCTGCCATGTTTCCCTAATGTACCGTTTGTGACAATAGGAACTTTCGATCATGTTTGTAACGTTGAGGTGGTGTCGATAAAACCATATTTTGTACAGTTGACATAATCATTTGTGGATGAAATCTGGTGGGGGCGAAAGAGAGGTGACCAAGAGTTGGGACAGATTTAGTGACGAGGAAGACGGCAGAGAGTTAAGAAACAATTGAGAAAAAAATACGGCAAAAAAAGGAATATAGAAAAGTTTTAAAAATATGATGAAAGCAGACCACCCAGTTCGGCACTTCTTGCGGGCTTGGCACTGCTATGGCGAAGGTCACTTAATTGCTTTCCTTAATATTACATTGTTCACTAACGAAATGTCCCACCTGCGATGTAAATCACTTTTTTATTCTATAAACTACCGTTCGTACTATTTCGGACGTCTTCTCCAGCGTGTGTCCAGGAGAGCGCGACTTTCAGTCGTCATGACAGGCCGCAGAGGTACGTGCGCTGTTAGGATGCATAACGCAACGCCGTGGCCAAAATTTCAAGGAAAGATCGTGCCGTAAGTACCGACATTTTGCCAGTGTCAACCAAACGCAGCAGGTGGAGGGTGGGGGGTGATAGCATTTGTAGTTCTTACTATTGCGCTACCTCACTGCTGCCACGTTCCACTTTGCCAATGATGTCATGGTTGACCTTTCTGCTCAGCTGACGTCTTCCTGCCGCATGTGACGGCTACCGGAAATTCTATTGGTGTGCTCTTTCGTGCAAACAAAAAATGCCCAGCAGTTTGCTAGTTTATTCTTTGCTCATTTTTCACACTTAAGCTGGTTTTCATATCGAATGAGAAGTTCTTAGACATATTAGGGTAAATTTTATGAGAAGGTGGTTGCGCAACTATTCCATCAATGTGCTTCTTTTGTTTTGTCATCGAACTCAAATAAGTACAGTACTTCCGTTCCTATTTTGGTACGCTAATTTTATGTTCGCGTCATAGTAATTGGGAACACACTACTCGACTTTATGGTGCATTTCAGAGGTTCAGTGCATGCAGATGCATGACGTATATGTTTCAAAGCACCGTTAGGGTCTTCAGCTTCAAGAATAAAACTTGCGTTAACTGCAGTAGCGTAGGCATGTGGAATGGTTGTTTTATGACTACGAGTGAAGATAAATGCTAAAAAGACGAGGGAAAACGTACCCTTTCTTGTACAGTCTTTCTAGCGTCGTTTTGCACTCGTAATCACGCAAACTTTTGTGAACACATTTAATCTGCACTTAGCTGTTTTACAAAAGGCCTGTAAGGTAAATAGTTTCAGCAGTGGCAGCAGGTCTTACATTTTCCACGGAAAATTGCTGCAGGCCCAGATGGGTGCCGTTGTGTAGCGTCATCACTGTGTATCCGTAGTCTGAGAAACGTGCAGCACTCCAGTCTGGCGGGTTTTTCACGAAGGGGTCCAGCTTTTCCTGGCAGCCCTGTGTCGTCACATGGCAAAGAAATACGACAATCAGAGAGATAGTAGCTGAAGAGGATAGAATGCAGTTTTAGGAGACGACGTGACCAGCCAGCATGACAATGCACTTTTATTTATTTTTTAATATGATGGCTGCATCATTCATGGTGGGTGAACTGTAACTGGCCCGTCTGTACCATGTTGAAACGATCATCTGAGAAAAATAGTGAGGGAGACTTGGTAGGTTGAAGACAGTTGGAAGAATGGGAGAGCGCGCCTATCTCTCCAGCAACTCAAAAACATGAATCTCCCTGCATACACTGCAAAGACGCCAACCATTCATGCAATGACTCTAACAGACTGATTACTTTGGTGTTGTGGTGGGCGTCTTCAGTGCATTGAGCTGTCGGTAACTCAAAGTGGCTTTTTTACGTGTCAAAAGAAAGTTTACCATCTCACAAATTGCAATGCTCTAAGATTCCAACCACTTTATGATTGCTAATTCAAACACCAACATCAGTGGCGTACTTTCTTATAAAAAAAAAAAGCCTTGACTCTACAACTCAACTCAAGCCGCTGATCGTTCTTTACTTCAGGAAACGTAGTTTGGTAGCAATGGGACAGTTGAGATATCAGGGAGGAAAGGGATACAGTTCTATACGTATTCATCCCACTACCCGCCACTTTACACAGTGAGAAAAGAAGCAAAAAGGTGAGGAAAAAGTCCTTACATATGCATTGCGGCACATTACGTGTAAACGAGAATTCGCACAACATGGCAGTTTTAGAGAAACAGCGCAGCACAGTCGATATGGCTGCCAAAGTCTGTCCAAAAGCAAATAGCATTTGTTGAAAGATTGCTCTCCTTCAAGCCAAAAAGACATAACTGCCGTTTTTTTTTTTTCAGGAGAATGACAAAGGCAAGTAAGGTTTTGACAGACATGCATGAAAATTATGAAATAAGCCATGCCTCATGAGTGTACTTGAATGGCACTATTGAATGTTTCCTTGTCAGTTTTAATGTAAAAAAAAACTTCATTCCATCGCTAGCATCAGTGTTAAGTTCCTGCGGAACACAGAAGATGTTTCTCAGCTCTACCTAATTCCAAAGAAAAATATTGGAACTTTACTGATTGCTGACATTGAATGAAGCTTCTAGTGTCCTTGACAAGGCGTGCAGCAAAGTGTGTACAACTGCATTTATTATTTTATGTTCAACTAGCCGCTTACATTGGTCGTTGAACAAACTTAGACTATAAGTCTACATACGTCCCACTCCTCCGAAGTGATGTTTCACTACACCCATAGAGGTCAGTGAGACCATTGACTTCGGCGTCTTTATTGACTAGACAAGAGCAAGAATGACGGTTTAGAAGTCTTCTTTAGGGCTTGAACTCATAAAGGTGGTGTACAGTTTTGCGGAAATATTTTCGAGATATGGACAAGACAGATGACCTATCACTTTTTACCTTCAGGAAAATCTTAAGTTTCTTGCAGTGAGGGATCTTTTACTTGCCAGAAACTCGTATAGCGCATTTCAGTTTATACGGCATAACGTGGAAAAGGGTGTGAAGGCGTTTGCTGTGGGCGTAAAAGAAAATATTATTACTTGTTGCCTTTGTGGCGCCACTGGTACTTTTTTAGGAACACAGTACGTGAGCTACTATTCCGCTTATACAGGCGTTACCAAAGCATTGGCAACACCGAATTATTTCTTCCACAGAATTGATGAAGAGCAAGACTGTCACTTTGCGCACCATCATCTTGCTATAGTGCAGTTCAGTGGACGTATTCAGAGCGTCAAACTCGTAGTTTTCGGACATGGGCGGACATGGCAGCCGGCAACCTTTTTTATGTGCCAGTGTTATAGAATAAAAAAATAAACTAGACAGGTATGGAAAGAGTGAAATAATAATAATACAAATAATACTCTAATTATCCAGAAACACAGCGATGCATGATTGTATTACGTACAGAATACTTGCATTTAAATTAGCAAGTTACTTACGGCTGATCCTGTGATGATATGCACTGGTGCACCGGGATTCTTGTAAGGTTCTTCGACGCTGCCGTTGAAGACCTGTCGCAAGAATCGCGGAAGGAAATACTAAGTAAATGTGCAGTTTAGTGTATGTGTTCAACCAAAAACATTTTTTGAGAATAAGGTAGGACATATTTGTGCGGCTTTACAACAGACGCTTGGGCCACTTGGTGAACCTAACTTGGGAAAATGAGCCGCAATGATATGTAGGTAGAAGCTAAACCAGACGGGACGATTCCTACTAACAACTGCAAACATTCAGCATAACGCATTGGTGTAGTTACACAATATGCGCGTTAGCATAAGACTTTCGATGGCTACCTATAAAAATTAGTGCCAGGCGTTAAATAGCCTCGTCGCAACACGTATTAACGCGAGGCAAATGTATGTGCAATAGTATCTGACTGTGATGTGCCACACAAGTTCGCAGTCAACTACGCGAAACCAGGAAAGATGGTAGACAAACAAAATAAAACACAAAGTACCCCCCTCTGTCCCCCCAAAAATAAACAAGCAGAAAAACTCCGCTTATATGTGGCTGCTCATGAGACGCACTTTCTTGTTTACGAAGGCAATTGAAGTAATGCTCACGCGAAGTTGAAGGTCAGACTTTTCAAAGAAATCTGGTTCCTAAATCGGTCGTTTAATTTGGTATCTGCACAGCACATTCATAGTCACCGATCGCGTCCCATATCCAGGGTTTTTTAATAAAGAGTCTTATGCTGATATGCAAATGTGTCTTTTCGAAGATAGAAAAACTTTTAGAGACCGGCAAGATCACGGGGATTTGTCAATTTTTCAAGAGAAAAGGCCAACGGTGTAGTTACTTTTGTCATACGCTTGAACATGTAGTATAAGAATGTGAACACGATGGGCTTGCGTTATCAGTGTGAAATGCACATGCACGATTATAACGAGAATAGGAATAGTGCTGCGGGGGCAATTGAGTTTTAGCTCCGATTTTGTAGAGCGCATTTCAAACCTCCATTTCTGGCGTACTTTGTAACAGCGTCAACTGCTTGCTGCAGTCGGTCCCACCGGTCGGAAACGCCTGGCGGTACCCTTGTACCCGTTAACTCGCAGCAGCTTACAACATGTATGTTTCACGGGGCACAGGTAATAATGTAGACTGTGTAGAACAAGTAACTCAGCAAATACGAGCGTGGACTTACATACGAAACGCCTGCACTACACTCTGTGCTGAGAGTATTGAAAACTCACAAATACCTCATGAGCTTCTCCTCGGATGCGTGAACGTTGCCAATTAAGGGCACTCTGTGTGGTACTTACACAAAATTTCACAGGTGGTATACTGAACCAATTTTGGTCGCGAAAAAAATAAATTGAAACGCTGACACAGAATAGACCACAAGAATGGGACAGGCTATACACCTTTTCACAGGAAGGAAAAGAAAACACCACCACGATGGGCTGTGCGCGGGAGTACAAAGGCTAAAGGCGCAGCGTTGTCAGTGCATTTTCGAGGAGACGCGCCAATTTGCACAGCCCAAGGAGGGCCGTGGCGGTGCCCAGGGAGGCGTTTACGAAAAGGTGAATAGACATATAGACACAGGCTATAGACAACTGACTTTACTTCCAAAACCACAAACATTTATTTCGGTAGAAAAAAACTAAAATGCTCACACAGACAAGACAACAGAACTATTAGGACAGGCTATGGATATCAACTGATTTTACTGCAAGAAAATATACATAGAAAGTGCGCGAGGAAGAGAGTTCCCAGGAGTGTGTTGTTGCGTGTGCACGCTGTCCAGTGCGTTTGGGCTCACATATTCCCTTGAATGAAATCAGTTGATGCGCAGCGCCCGTGCTGTTTGTGGGTCCTCACCTGTCTATTCGTTATAACTTTTTTGCTCTACCGAAATTTATTCCAGCAATCACAAACAAATGTTTATTTATTTGATTTTATACCCAGAAGGCCCTGCTGAGCATCATATGGGATAAGTCAATACATGCATTTAAAAAACCATAAATAGAAAGCGGAACACGGAAAAGAAAAGAAGAAAAGGAAACAGCGAGTAAGTCAAACCGCAGAATTCAGTCAAATACAATCACCAACGTCATTCGAATACGCAGTCATGAATACGATTATTTGGTACTGATAAAAAAATTCATAAAAATTACATCGATGATCATTGAATATATATTGCGAACTAAAACCACAAATGAAACAAGGACGATCAGACAAGAGCGATCAGACAATAGCCCTGCAGCACAGAGTGCAATAATTAACGGAAGATCCGTTAACGTAGCCAGAACTACCAGAGAATGGGATCGGGAGGGGCAAACAGCAAGGCAAGCAATCCCACCTTGTATTGCTAAGTAATCTGAAAAGCGAACTTTTGTCTCCTTCCAATACAGCCCAAAATATATTCTTTAAAAGCAGAGTAATCCGTGACCCACTACAAGTAGTCTTTTCTTTTTACAAATACAACTTCCGATCGAAACCCGTAACAGTGCATCGTAAAGAAGACCTTCATATTTCGAGAATGGAACTGACAGAAACTCAGCACATATGAAAAATCTGACGTTCATCATTGTACAAATAAATGCATTTTCGCAAACATGTTATGAAATTCCATTGCGATATAGAATAGCACTAATTTTCGACTTGAACACTAAGTAAGCAAAGTTTGCTAAGAGAATGAAGAACTTGCTCAGAAGTGAAAACTATGAACGGATATTGAGCGCTTAAGTTGTTCAAGTATTTCTTGGGAAGTTTGCAGAAGCACAGCTGCTTTTAATAACCAGTAGAGTACGTCTCGAGTTATAAACTTAATTACTATTGATTACCGAAATCACATAACCAATGAAACAAGATGCGTCAACTACACTATGCTGGAGAAAATGTGCTGTAGTGTGCTTCAAGGAACAACTTTTGGTTTTTTTTACTCATGCTGCTTAATATTTGAAATAGGTTGCATGCACCCATGTTTAGGTGGCAATATTTAAGGGTTGTAACACCTACCTGGCGATCGTAGACTGGCCACAGACGCTCGTACGAGTGCTCATGTGCCCAGAACTCGAGGTCGACTCCATATTTGTGGAAGAGGTCTTCGAGTCCGTACAGGTGTACCAAAGGAATTCCTTTGCGAATCTGCACACAGATCAGTCTCACATTCCTTAAAAAACTGAAAAAATTATACTCTTGCGCGTTTACCTAAGGACGCTGAACTTTGCACATGCGCTTGTGTTCGACTATATACAACTAAGTTGAAGGCTGGAAAAAAACCTTTAATTTGATACAAAATCATAAGGCGAGAAGCACTTTCGACAAAGATGAAAATTTGAAGTGTAATATTAGAAGTCATTTTCCTTTGTTCAACACGATGTTAGCGAAACCTATCAGACAGTTATGCCAAAAATGTATAGAAAATGACGTGCGAAGTACGTCATTTCCTGTGGCAGTGGTCATCCTTTGATGGTGGTGATCAGTGGTCAACTACGACGGTGGTCATCCTTTCGTCCACTTTGTAAGGTGTATATGTGCATTTAAACGTTCGAGCGTCAGTCAGTGCTGTCACTTTGTATCACGGCGATAGTCAAACAGTTTTTGTACCTGTTGGTGTCACGTAGCACATGATCTTAATACGAGCTGGCAGCTGACTATGGCTTCGCATACTACCTGATGGAATTATATCTACCGAAATGATACACTTGCTATCAGTGATGGAAAAAGTGTAAATTTTAGGCCTTGGTTTTCTACGTTATGCACGTAATTTATGACAGCTAAGAGACAATGATACCCAAAAAATGCAGAGAAATTGTTATTAAAAGTATTTGTAATGTAAATTGTAAGAAACTAAAGTCTATTTGTCGAATCTTGAGACCGTTATTAAAAAACCTTAGCACAAACTTGCTAATACCACTATGGAGTTGTAAAGTTAGTTTGTCGTTACTTGGTTGCCATTCTGTGTATCTTACTACGCGTAGTACTGTCTGTTCAAAGCATTAGGCGAGCAGTCCAGATTAATTTTTTTCGGCATGATGTCAGCTAAAACATCTGCAAGTTCTTTCTGTTTTCTTACAATTCAGCTGTCCTGCGATCTCGCAATTTCATTTCTATCTTTATGCGTTCTGTTGCACTCTGCGTAGTCCACAGCTTTTTATCTAGTTTTTTTTTGTTGATCTGCATATTCAGTCCCATACGTCAATACAGGCTGTATGCAGTGGTTGTATAGTTTTCGCTTTAATGATGGAACTGATTTTCTGACAATATATAGAGTACCTGCTCAATGCCATTGAGCGCATTTATATTTGGTGGAGGTTTTTTTTTTTTTGTGGTTGGGTTCTCAGGAAAGTATAGTTGTCCTTGGTATACATATTCTTGTTTGTACTCCAATATATGGTTTTTCATCCTAAATTCCTTCAGTTTTGCAAGACCATTATTCATTACCTTTGTTCTCACCAGCTTTCTTTTTTGATACCTACTTTAATACTTTTTCCGTATATATTGCTCAGTCATCTTCTGCGATTCACTGCTGTGATTACTGAAGAGCAAAATATTGTGTGAAAAACATAGATTGTTACGCCATTTTCCTTCGACTTTGATTCCAGATTGCATTCGGTTCAGCTTTATAAACACTTTTTCCAAGCACGCAAGTACTAAAATTGAGGATATGGCATCTCTTTGTGTCACTCCCGCGTTCATCGCAATCTTACCGCTTTTATTGTGAAGAATTAAGGTACCGATGACGTCTTTGTAGATGTCAGCTAAAGTACTGACGCAGGATTTGGATACTAGCCCTACCGTGGTGGTCTAGTGGCTGAGGTACTCGGCTGCTGACCCGCAGGTCACGGGATGGAATCTCGGCTGCGGTAACTGCATTTTCGATGGGGGCAAAAATGATGTAGGAACGTACGCTCAAATTTGAGTGCACCTTAAAAAACCACAGGTGGTCAAAATTTCCGGAACCCTCCACTACGGCATCTTTTATATACATATGGTGGATTTTGGACTTAGAAGTGTGGCAGCTTGGGCTAGTTGGTATGACATGACGATAGTTATAGCGCAAGAACAGAACGACAATAACGAGACAAGAAGGGCACGAAGTACACCAGGATTTGGGACGTTAAGCCCCACATATCTTCATCAGGAGTGTACTTATCAATTTATTGTTTTTAGAATGGCATATTTGTCTACTTAGTTTAATGCCTTTTCATAGCCAGCTAAGTAAATGACATTGTTGTATTCAGCTGATTTTGGTTCACCTCAATTATCACGTTAATGTGATCTACTGTAGAGGAACCTTTCCGCATCCAGCTTGCTCTTTGGGTTGTTGAAATTGTGTTTTTTATCCTGTCTGAGATTACTTTTGTCAGTATTTTTATGTCACCGAAATAAAGCATTTAGACCTATAGTTTTTTTACGTCTTTACTATCTATTTTCTCATGTACGAGCATGATATTGACATTTTCCAACTCACTTTATTTATTACCGTCCTGAGGCACTGATTATAAACTGTAGCTTGTTTTTTCTCTATGTTCTCATACGTGCTTAATTATATGCACTGTCATACCGTCATCGCCAGCTGCCTTGCCACGGGGCATATCCTGTATCTGTTCGGTAGTTACGTAGGGAACTTCCGCATCTTTTTTCTGGCTACTTTCACTCGCAATTTGATAAAGTATTTTAGCCGCGAGATTTAGCAAAGTCGCCGCCTGGCGGAAACTAGCAGAAGTGCTGAAGTGTGGACATGGCTGGGCTAGGTGCTGGTGGTGGTGGTGTTGCAGCAGGCGGGGTTAGCTTGGCCTGCATGGCCGGCAATTGTTCCGCCTGAGCATCTCCTGAATTTGAAAAATGTCACCACGTGTCAGACAGCTCCGTGCCTCGCAGGAAGACCAACAAAATTCGTTGCACGTTCCTCCTAGTTGCCGCGGGTCTTTCAAGAAAGATGACGTCATCAACTATCCGGTGCCTATGACAGCCTTTTCGCAAGGTGCGGATCATCGCTGCTCTTTGCACATCAAACTGTGGGCAAAGCCAAATGAAATGTTCAATATCCCCGATGTCACCACAGAAGGCACAGAACGGGGAAGCGTATCTCTCAGTCTTGAATGACCAGGCCGGGGTGTATGCGGAGCCGGTTCTTATGCGGTACAACAGCGTCGTTTCTTCACGAGAAAGTCCATGAATTACACATGCTTGGCGTGGAAACTTGTAGATCGCCTTGAAATGATTGCGTATCACATCTTTGTTGTTGTGGTAAGTCTTGGGAGTTCTTACTTTTGGAAACGATGTACGTGCTTCGCATGCAAGGGCATCAGCCTTTCACTTGCCCTCAATGCCAACGTGGGATGGGATCCACTGGAACTTTATATTAAAACTCTTGCCATTTAGATGTTTGATTAGTGCCAGAGATTGCCTGGTGAACTTTTCTTGGGGTAGGCTATGATGCAGTCTTTGTAACGCCGATTTGGAGTCCGTCAGCACTACAACATCTCGTGCCGAAAAGGATCGCAATTTTCGCAAAGCCGCCGTGATTGCAGCGCTTTCTACCGTTGTGGACAAAACCACACAATCCAGGTGGCCCGACCATGACACGCCAAGGCAGGGTATGCAGAAAGCCACTGCGCAGCTATCCGTTTGTGTGCACACTGATCCGTCGGTGTACACTCTTAGGTGGCTGCGGTACATTGTGCTCAAGTTTACCAGAGCAAGAAATTTTGCTTCCGCGGCTGGAATGGTGCGCTTCGCTAGTAGATTGGGTACGATGAAGTTACACGCAACATCCACAAAAGACCATGGCGGGTCCATAGGGCGCCGTTTAGGCAGTTTCAAGCCTAAATATTGAAATGTGTTTAGTGCCGCGTTGAAATGTGAGCCAGTTCTTGCTCTTAGCCTCCGGAGAAGCGCCATGCCTGCGAAGGACTCGCCCAGTCTTGAAAAATGCGTCAATAAGGCCATAGACGCCAAAAGGCGGAGGGGAAGAGACTCGGCTTCATTGGTGACCTTCGTGTTTGAAGCCGCCTGAGGGACTCTTATCGCCAAGCGAAGGCCCTTTCTGTGCACTGCCTCTAGGCGTTCGAACTGGCTTGGTGATATCAGGGGCAGCTGATAAAGAATGCGGCTTGTTATAAGCGCATCATTCAATTTAGGCATGGACATAGGATTGTTGCCCCAACGGACCCCTGTAATGCGACGAAGAGCGTTGATCCTCTTCACTGATGCAGTGACTATACCATCAACCGCACGTCGCCATAATAGCTTGTTGTGGATGGTGATGCCTAGGAAACGGACACTTGTTGCACAACAAATTGAGTGGCCTCGAATATTCAGCGACAGACGTGTTGACTTCCGTCGCGCTCGCGGGAAGAGCACGAAGGCCGATTTTTCTGCTGATAAAGATAGGCCAAGTGTCAACAAGTGACGCTCAATAATTGAAATAGCACTCTGTGCTATCCGGGCCAAATGTTTGTGCTGGTACCCTGAGATTCAAATGCAGATGTAATCGGCGTAGATGGACATTTTAACTGCTTTCAGAGCTAAGTGCAGAGTGTCGGAAAGGCTGGCCATGGCAACGTTAAAAAGCAAGGGAGATAGAACACTTCCTTGTGGGACGCCGAGGGAAACGCGTCTCTCTTCGCTCGTTACATTTCCAAGCTTAACACGGACACAGCGGTCTCTGAGAAATTCATGTACGAACCGAAGAGGATTTCCCGACACACCCATGGCTTGGAGCCCGTTCACGATGCCTGTCTGAAGCACATAATCATATGCCTTGGCAACGTCCATGAAGACGGCGAGTGCCGAGAGTCCGCTGACGTGGTGGTGCTCGATGGGGCTTAATAGGTCCGAAACACTGTCCTGGGCACTCAGTCGTGGGCGAAATCCGATCATACACGATTGCCATCGTCTTCCTTGTTCAAGGTACCAAGTTAATATTGTACTTATTATTCTTTCCATCAACTTAGATACTCATGATGTAAGAGATACCGGTCGATATGACGCGAGGCTCACAGGATCCTTTCCGCAGTTTAGGACTGGCACCATCCATGCTGTCTTGCAAACAAATGGGATCTCTCCCGTGCTCCAGGCATAAATAAATATGTCCAAAAGGGCCCTTTTTCGCTCATATGGTAGATTTTTCAGCATTT